GAGAGTCAAAAGGCCTCAACAAGCACTCGTAAAAATCTGCTGTAGCTGAGGTTTTCCTGGTAAGGGGACAAAGGCTTCTCATACAGTCTAGCATATTTGCAGTCTATTTATAGAACACAAAATTGCTGCATCTTTCATCAAGGTTAACTGTATTTATTTTTACGAATTCCTAAGGGGCGCTGATTTTCATAGATGTATAGAAAACGTCCTTCAATTTTACTTTTTAGGTATTGTGTTTTATATTTTCTGATAAATGATTCCAACTCAAAATAATGAGTTTTAGTTAAGCCATACATTGTAGACACAGTAGATATGATAAAGATGTTGTTTCACCTGAACTTTTGAAACAACATCCATAACATTCATCTGGCTGCAACTTATAAATTATGTATGTAATATATCATATTCCAATCACTTGTATATAGACTCTTATTGCACTATTTTTCTTTTTGTATTTACTTGCACAATTGTTTCTGTTTTTCTGTTTTATTGTGCTATGTACGTATGACTAATAAAAGCCTTGAACCTTGAGATCTCTTCCACTTTCCAACATTTGTCCTAAATGATCATAACTAAAGCTGCCAACAGTGTGAATGAACAGATCTAGAGTGGAGGAACATTTTTAGAGGTTTTAATTCACTGACCAATTTAATTGAGAAGTTAACATATAAATTGTAATGCTGTTAACCATTCAAGGATTTTTGACCTAAAACCCCTCTTGGACCAGAGATGATGATGGGGGGGGGGATAGGGGAGCTCACCTAGATCATCTTTAAGTTCAAGTTCAGCATTGATGGGGTTGATGACCCCCTCCACGTCAAAGCCAGCCAAGTTACTGACCTCGCTGTGAATGAGGTTAAGCTGCGTAAAGCGGGGGGAGGCATGCCAACGGAGGAAGAGCAAGAAGGAAAAGGGAAGGAAGCAAAGCAATTAAAACCAGATTCATACCACTCCCTAAAGGAATACCTTGACGTTTTGAGCGTTTATCATAAGAACTAGACATTCAACATATCTGCACTACCACTAATTCTTAGCTTTTGTGTGCAGTGACATGTACAATGTAATGTGGATTGACGACCAACACCCAACGTATAGCAGTATTTTTAAAAAACATCTCAAATACAAACACACAGCTACAAAGGTTATAGTGCTAAGTTCTACTGCTAGATCAGCATTAGTCAGCAATATATTAAAGCTCTGGTTAAGCACTTTCAAAGCAAACTGTAACAACTCAATAGGTCACAATAGGATTGCAGGCCATGGGTTAAGAAATGCTTAATTATTTATAATGTCAATGGAAAGTAATTAGGATAATGAGGACCTCAACCAAAAGGGACATCAGTCAAAGGCTGACAATAACCAACAAGGACATGATGGAAACAATAACTAGAAGGTTGAAAACTACTTTTAAACTGGTCTCTCAGTGATTGTAAGAAAAGCACATGTAATACAAATAACACCTTGGTTATAATAAAGTGTCCCAGTAAGCCATGACAGTGAACCACCCTAAACAATACCCTGAACCTGAAGCTGAACAATTCAGTTCAAACGTCAATAGTTTGACAAAAAGCTCTCTGATTTGACCCGCCTTTGTAGCTGTGTTGTTGTTGTTTTATGTCATCATCATCATCATCATCATCATCACCTTATATATATATTAGTTGCAATGTCCATTAAGTCCTGTTGTACTTGTAGAATTTAACTCTATATTCCCGGTTTCTAATGTAGTTGTGTTTGCAAAGGTAATCCCAGCATATTCATATGTTTTATTCTCTGTTTGCCAGGAACTTTACAAAAGGCTGAGGGAATTTTCTAAAATAAAAGTCAAAATATCAAGGTATCCTTCAGAATGTTACGATTTTTCAATGCAGAAGCAATATCCTTTTAGTATTTCAGAGTCAAGATTCATCAGTCAACTGTTAGACAAACTGCACATCCAAGGTTTAAACTCCAATCTTTGAAAGGAAAAGGCCCAAATCATCCCAAAAGAAATCACTTGTGTGTGACCAAGTCAATAAAGCAGAAAACAGACAAGCTTTTCTATTTATGGTTCCATTATCTTAATAAGTTGGCGATTAAATGCATTATATATATTATGGCCTTTAAAAAAAGGTCAAAGAAATATTAAGCTGAAGCTAAAACGTCAGTTTTATTGTATTAGTATTTGCATATGCAGAGTGGACCAAACCATGCAGTGCCATTAGCAGCAGTTCAAAGTCAAACTGAGCTGAAACATTGAAATCTGGAAGTATATTTTCTACATTTGTTCTTAATTTTCTGCATTAGATGCCAACAGTGTACAGCATCACTGCAGATTGTAAAATTATTATATATTGGATCCATTCAGAGACAATCCCCTAATCCTTTCTGTTCGGTTTGATCTTGTGTTTTACTACGCCTCCCACAAACTTTAGAGAGGCAAAACATAACAGAGGACGCTGTTGAAAATACGCTTCTCTTAACTATTTTCAGAGTGCTAAACACACGTATTAGAGCTGCACGATATTGGAAAAAACTGACAGCGATTTTGTTCCCCCTGCGATATATATTGCGATATGAAAAAATACAGTAGTTGAAGAAAAGACCGTTTTTTTTCCCGCAAACCATTCTTTCTTGAACTTTAATGCTATACAATTGGTATTTTTTTAACTATATTTAACCGGATGAAGGATTTTAGTCACGGACGTCTGGATCTTAAGTTATCAGAGCAACAAGCTGAGCTAGCTCGGTTAGCAGTGCCAAACTGCTCTGGAGAAACACATGAAACTACTTTATTCAGTGTTTTTACCTTTAATCACTGGGTGCGTTTGCTTTGGAGATTTGATAGTGATTGGTGGTTTGCTGTCACTCTCTCAAGTACCCATGACATGAGAGCCGCGCAAGTTATCCTTTTGTAGCAAGCAGCAAAATAATTGTAACATGACGTGTTTGAGTTAATTTGCCTACTTAATATCGCTTAAA